CCTCCCCCTCTCCCATGTCCCCCCAGAACTGTCAGTCCCGTTGTTTTCTCCTCCACATTGTTCCTCAAGCCTGTCCTATCCAGACAGGCCTGCGGAGACAACAACATGCATTTTAATTTTTTCTTCGTCAGTGGACTGATGTTGTTGCTGTTTTGTTGTACATTGTTGCTTGGTTTTGCTCTGTCTTGTTTTTATGCAGAATATTTTTTAACAAGCTCTACACCAGACTTGTATTCACATTAAAATATGAAAAGATGCAGGTAAAAAATATTGGACAACACATGTTTGCATTTACATTTCTGGAATGACTGTATTGGGATGATGGATCTCATGTGGTTTCCATCAACTTCATAAGAGTTGTATGTTCCCAAATCCTGTCTTCCTACCCGCTGGCTGGAATTAGTATTCGTGAGGAAGCAAATCATGACCTACATACATCACCCTCTATTTCACTCCTCACCTTGACTGAAAGGCTGGTGAGGTGCAATTTTGGCTAAACTCCTGTCTCTCTGAGCCCAGAGAGACAGAACTTGAACTCCATTACTGCTAGGAACCATAGTGAAAACTAGAGAGGAGTCGTTTGTAAAAGGGCAATAGTAGGAGGTCTCTATCCCATACTTAATCATACTTATAACTATATTATGCCCATCTGGATAATCCAGGTAATGCTCCCATCTCAAGATCGTGAATCCAGTACCATCTGTGGAGGTTCTTTCCGCTAGATAAGCTCATGTATTCACAGGTTCTGCGGATTCAGGCAGGCACCTTTGGGAGACTATTCCTCAGTAAATGCTTCCTTGTGAGGGTATTGATTTGCACTTTCCTGAAACACTTTCACGTGTTAATTCGCCGTGTGTGTTTCCTCTTCTTTGATATCGATGTTTGTTGTCTGTGGTTTTCTATTGGACTCCATTTCTCCTAGTGAATCCTAAGAATTCTTTAAATAAACTAGAAAATCATCCTTTTTGGTGTGCTGTATTATGCGTCTCATACATTTTCTTACACTGTATCTTGTCTTTTCACCTTCTAATAGCACATTTTGGTGAACATAAGTCCCAAACTTACCAGAGCTTAATGTTCTTGTCTATCACAAGTCCTGAGTCTTTTCCCCCCAGATGTCTTTTAAAGAACTCTCCACACCCATCATCCAGTGCCCGCTAGTCAATTCTAACACTCAGGGACTCTACCCAGGGTTTGAAAGACTGTAAATCTTTACGGGCGCTGACAGCTATTAAAACGGAGTCTTGCATTAAAATCAATTTAGGATCAGACATTCAAACCACATGCTAATTCATTTTAAAACTAATTGCAAGCAGATGTATTTTTATGAAGAAATTTGATACCTTTAAGAATTGAAATACTGTCTTCTATCCTTTCTTATTTCTATTATTTATGATATGCTTTGTAATGTGCACATGTCCATCAGATTTCTGTCCAGGGAACAGAAAGGCTGGGGGAATAAACATTAAGCAAAACTGCCAATGACTTTCAGTAAGTTAGGAATTTCAGGAGCAGTAGGAAATGGCTGGCTGAGATCCAGCTGCCTCTTTGCTGCTGAAATGAGATAATTCACAGGAGGATGCCCAAAAGCTTCTGGAAACACCTCTTCATCAACCACCTGCCAAAGCAGATGACCTGCGTGCCATTGCTACTGGGATAAGATTATGGTTTCTGCTTCTCTTTTGTCTTTCCAAACTTGTACTATTATCTTTCATAGGCAGAGTGCATAACCTGGAGCCCTGGTGGCAGGGATTCTGAGAAATAGTTTCTATTCTTTTAGCTCTTGTGAAACAAATATCTTGGAGGGCAGACAGTTCTAGCTTAGCCCAAAATGATCCTTCACAACACACAAACTATACAAAGTATATCATTTTATATTTAAAAATAAAACCCAATCTCACTGCTACCAAGTTGATTTTGACTTGCAGTGACCTGGCAGGACAAAGTAAGGCAGCCCCCTGTGGATTTCATAGACTGTAAATCTTTAAGGGATCACAAAGCCACATCTTTCTTCACAGAACAGCTAGTGGGTTTGAACCTCTGATCTTGTACTTAGCAGCTCAATGGGTAAATAACTATACCAACAGGACTCCTTTAAATGAGGTGGCAGGGATAAATTAGTAAAACCCATAGCAGAAAGCCAGTATTCATCTAAGTTCAAATGTGTAAATCCTTGGGCCTTGTGATTAGATGTCTAAGAATTTATTTTAGATACATTTACCCATGTGTCAAATGATTTATGCAGTGTTTGTCACTGCAGGCTTGTTTGTCAGCAGAAGCTTCGGAGCTGTGTAAATGTTCGTCAATAGCAGACTGATGAAAGAGGTTATAGACTATTCATCCAATGGAATGGCAAAAAGCTGTCAAAAACACTAATACAGAAAGATCTTCAGGCAAGAGTGAAAGCAGAGTAATATGCACGGATTTGGGTCGAAGAACAAGAGGAAAATATGTATCTTAACACTGGGCTGTATATACATGAGCATCTCTGGAAAGATACAGAAGAAATTAATAGCAGTGCTTTTCTGTTGCAAAGAAACTCTTGGAAGGAGACTACACTTGCATTCCTTTTCACCTTTTTAATTTCTGGGGGGAAATGTAGATGTATGACTGCCTCAAAATGTATATTCCATAAATAAACTTAACAAAGAAACACTGGCCAACTTGAGTTGTATGATCAATAGCGAGTCCTAGATTCTGGAGTGACTTGTGGTCCTTCGCTAGTCCTGATACGGTATTTCAATACATTTGGATTGTAGGATATTATTTTTAACACCACGAGGGATATTTATATATACACAGATATGTTTCTTGTTAAAAGCTGTTATCTATTTCGGTCCCCTACAAATGGTAGCTCAGGCCAGCCATTTGGCTCTCGTCTTAGTCCAGGGCCACCTCGCGATGACACTGCCCATGCTATGTTAGGGCACTGTGGAGAGCGGCAGCAGCTTGCTACTAGAGCACGAGAATGTGGGCTCCACAGCCAAGCCCGCCTAGCGAGGTGTTCTAGACACTTCCAATTTCTAGGCCTGCGATCTGGGGCTTTTGTGTGATAGGAGCATGGCAAGTTTGTACTGGACCGTTTGTATGAGGAATTGCGGCACGGAAGACACGTCGCAGTGAGTAGCAGGTACTTAATGATTGTAGTTGTTGCTGCTATTGCTATTGTTAGCATCATGATGATCGGCATGATCATCCACCAACCATGCTGAATCTCTGCTGCTTACCTTGGGCCAGGGCAGTGTCCTGTTTGGACTCAGACCTGAGGCTACCTGATCGGTGTCTGTGGGAGGCAGGTTTGAAATCTTGGATAAGAACAACACTGATACCCTCACCGAAACTCAGTCCAGTTGGTGAGGAGATGGGGGGTCGCCTGTCTC